CGGCTCCTAAGGCGGTGAGCGTGGCAGCGCCCGTCCCTCCGTCGCCAGCGCTTGCGTTGCCCAACCTGGCCAACGTGGACCTGGCGAAGATCAGCTCCATTCTTAGCAGTTTAACTTCTGTCATGAAGAACACAGGTGAGTGCTGAGGCGACGCTAGCCCAGGCGCTTGGTTAACGGAGCTAACGATGGAGTTTTGTAATCTCTTAAAGCTTTTTAATTGTCTCCAAATAAACGTGGTTGAGTTACAGCTTGAAAGATCTGGCTCAGTCTCTCTGACACATGACTGTCGGCTCCGTGAGCTTCTCCTTGCTCGCACTCGGAGCTCCGCTGCATCCCTGGAAAACCTGAGCCAAAAAACCGCTTCTGTTAACGAAGCAACGTACGTGAGTGGTGTGTGCTTCTGTCCTAGGTGTCAGTCCCGCCTCGAGACCTTCTCCGGGCACCCCGACGAGCCCAACAGCACTTACAAGTGGCCTGAAGACTCCTGTCCTGGGGGCTCCAGCTGCTCCTTCAAATCCGTTAGCAAATATTCTCTCCAAAGTGGAAATAACTCCGGAAAGTATTTTGTCTGCTCTCTCCAAAACCCAGACTCAGACCGCACCAGCATTGCAAGGTACCAGCGCGGGTCTTGGGGGAAGGGCTAGCTGGGCGTTTGGTGGCAGTGGCCGCGCTGAAGCGTGCTGCTCTGCTTATCCTGAAGCGAAAATGGAGGGAGAAAAAGTGATTTGGAATGTGTTACGTCTTTGGCAAATGTAGATGACTTTTTCTGGGGTAGCATGCGTGTTACGGACCGGCGAGTCTCGTTACTTTACACTTTGTGGGAGGGCAGTGGGACAGGAGACCGAGAGAGCTCTTTGTGGTTTCCCTGTGCTTCCGAGAGCGCTTGCTTAGAGCCAAAACCTTCCCAGAGGTGTTGCTCCTGCTCCCACACCTTGCATGCGTAACCCCGCTCGGCAGCACGATGCTTTTTACGCCTGGCTACAAAGGCAGGACGAGTTATTGCCCAGCTTATTCGGATGGGTGGTGTGGTTTATACTTATAAATCCATCAGGTGGAAGTTTGCGCCTGGGTGGGTGCTAACGTCAATATCCAAAAACAATCGGACTGCAAAATCCAGTCATTTTCCTGGCTGAAACACGAGGACGTTTGAAGGAACGACGTCTGCGGTGCAGAGACCGAACCCTTTCCCCTGGCAGCGGCCCGGGTTGACTTGCCTCTCTCCCGAGTAGCTGAAGGCGGCGTTCTCTTTTCCAGGTTTGTCGTCCTTACTTCAGAGCGTTGCTGGAAATACCGTTCCGTCGAGCGAAACTGCGTCGCAGAGCACTTCGGCATCGCCGGCCAACACGACCGTTCCTGGCGTGAAGGGGAGGACCGCTCCCTCCAGTACTCAGTCCTTTATATCCAAGAGCTTTGGGTATTCCCCGAACTCGTCCGCTGCCGAGGTTTCCTCGACGTCAGTTACCAAGGCTCCCGTTGGACACACCCCAGGGCTGTCGAGCTCCACTTTTAAGCCGCCAGCCAACTCCCTGGGATTTCCGAGTTCCCACCCTACCAGTCCTTCTTCCCTTGTGCCGACAGAAACCTCCCTGGGCCAATCCTCTGAAATTTCAAAAGCGAAGCTGGAGTCGGAACCCCCTTCTCCCAGCCTGGAGATGAAGATACACAATTTCTTGAAGGGAAATCCCGGCTTCAGCGGTCTGAACTTGAATATTCCGATTCTCAGCAGCTTAGGGTCCAGCATCGCAACGGAAAGCCACGCGTCTGACTTCCAGCGGGGTCCCACCAGCACTTCCATGGACAATGTGGACGGAACGCCGGTGCGCGATGAGCGGAGCGGGACGCCCACCCAGGACGAGATGATGGACAAGCCGACGTCAAGCAACGTCGACACCATCTCCCTGCTGTCCAAAATCATGAGCCCCGGTTCTTCGACTCCCAGCAGCACGAGGTCACCTCTGCAGAGCCGGGATGACGGATATTCCCAAGAGCTTTCCAATTCCGTGCACACCTACCGGCCCTTCGGCCTCGGCAGAGATTCTCCGGCCGGCCTGTACAAGCCGTC